CCCCGGCTGGCGGGGCTGGCCCCGGCGGAGGCGGGCTGCGCAAGGCGCCGTGTGTGCCCTCGGGTCTCTCCGTCCCCCTTCTGCGGGTCTAACGCCTGTTTGCCGGGGGGCGCTAGGCAACAGGTCCCCGGTGTCTGTGCAGCGCGGCAGTTGAGCAGCAGCAGCCAGCGAAGGAGTGAAGCTCTCGCCGGTGCCCCTCTGGATAATGCTCCCAAGGAATATCCCCCCAAGATCCAGCAGCTGGTCCAAGACATTGCCAGCCTCACGCTCCTGGAGATTTCAGACCTCAACGAACTCCTGAAGGTATTGGGAAGAGATCGACACAGGCTAAGACTAAGTTCCCTGACTTCTGTTTGTATTTCGGGAGTTTGGTAATTTGTCAAACCAAGGTCAGAGGTCCCTGTCTCTCCTGGATGTGTTTTGGGAGTTTGGTAAATTGTCAGATTTGCTTTCCTGGATGCCAGGACCAACCAGGCTCGTGCCTCCATTAGTAAATACATTCGGGTTTAACAGCCAACCACTGAAACTTCTCTTTCGTCCCACAGAAAACATTGAAGATCCAGGATGTCGGCCTTATGCCTATGGGTGGCATGATGCCTGGTGCAGTCCCTGCTGCAGCAGCAGCAGCCCCTGAGGTGAGCCTAGGCAACAGGAAGAGCCGTTCTGTGTGCCTAAGTTAACTGTTGGCCTCGACATGTGGCGGGTTTCTCTTAACTCCTTCTTGGGTCTGCAGCAGTCATTAGTGTGTCACCCTTGTGGGCCCCCCTCTGGCATGCAATATCTTGTCTTAGTTATTGTATGTATGTATGTTATGTGAGTGTACATGTTACAGCACGTGGAGAAGGGTCAAAGGGGACAACTGCCAGAAGTTCTGCCCTTCCACAGTGGGTTCTGAGGATCAAACTCATGTCCACAGGCTTTCCCTTCACTTTGGAGGCTGTCCTGGAACTAGCTCTTGTAGACCAGGCTGGTCTCCAACTCACAGAGATGCTCCTGCCTCCCGGGTGCTGGGATTAAAGGCGTGCACCGCCACCGCCCAGCTCACAAGCTTCCCCTTCTACACCCTGAGCTATGTTGGTGGGTAGACCTTATTTGATGAAGAAGGAAACAGTGTTCTGACATCGGTGTCATGAGTACCATTAAGGAAAGTAGGCGAGGTGCAGGATATGGTACTGGAGAGCCTGCCTCCCTGTGAGGCGTGCTTTGGGTTGGCAGGCCAATAGGGGTGTCGCTTCAGTTGGGTAGAAGGCTGGAGTTTCAAGGAAACCTCCACAGGGTGATAATACTTAATGAAACTTGAAGGTGTTGAGGAAGAGAAAGCAAAGCATTCCTCACAGATGTAGCTGATAGAAGGGCTTCTGATCAATATTTAATACCTGAGCAGGGGTGGGGCGTGCTATTGAACACCTTTATTCCCAGTGCTTCGGAGATGGTGGCAGGCACATCTCCGTGAATTCCAAGCCATCCAGGACTGGATTCAAGCCTAACAGTTTGTTTTGACGATTTATTTTTATTCATATTTGGGAGAGGGGGGGGATGCGTGCCCGAGCACCACGTGTATGTGGGTATCTAAAGAGACCAGAAGAAGGTGTTGGATCCCTTCAAGCTGGAGTTAAAGGCCGTTGTGACCACCCTGTTTTGAAAAACAAGCTGGGTGGGCTAGAGAGATGGCTTAGAGGTTAAGAGCACTGACTGCTCTTCCAGAGGGCTTGAGTTCAATTCCAGCAACCACATGGTGGCTCACAACCATCTGCTATGAGGTCTGGTGCCGTCTTCTTGTGTTCAGATATACATGGACGCAGAATGTTGTATACATAATAAATAAATAAAATATTTAAAACGCGTATCAAACAAAAACAAGCCAGGCGTTGGTGGCGCACGCCTTTAATTTCAGCACTTGGGAGGCAGAGGCAGGTGGATCTCTGTGAGTTCGAGACCAGCCTGGTCTACAAGAGCTAGTTCCAGGACAGCCTCCAAAGCTACAGAGAAACCCTGTCTTTGGGAAAAGGAAGGAAAGACAAAAAATCGGGTGGTGGTAACCTGGTCTACAAAGTGAATTCCAGGAAAGCCGGGGTTGTTAACACTGAGAAACCCTGTCTCAAAAGAAAAAAAAAAAAAGTTGTCTTTATTGACACATAGGTTTTGTTGGCAGAAGAGTGAGATAGTCCTGATTCTTCCTTATCTGCAGCTGCTTGTTACCTGTGCATGCTTGCATGTGTTCATGTGGAAGCCACTCGCTCAGGCACCACTCACCCTTTCTTGTTTTAAAGCATGGTATCTCAGTTGGCATGGTGTAATGAGGCTTTTTTCTGTTCTGCTGGTCAGCTCCCAAATAATGACACAGAGACTTATTAATTATGAAATCATGGCCTTCGCTTAGGCCTGTCCCACTAATTCTTTAACTAAATTAACCCATTTATATTAACCACCTCTCTTGCATCCTGCACCTCCTGTTTCCTCTCAGCCCAGAAATCCCGCCTTTTTGTCCTGCCTAGCTACTGCTCGATCAGCTTTTTGTGACAGCAATCACACAAGTGTACAGATAACCCGAAACAGCCTGGAACTTGCTGGAAAATCTAGGCTGGTTAGCCAGTAGGCCCTCTGGATCCTCCTGTCTACCTTGACAGTGGTTGGGTCACAGGCACAAGCTGCTGTGCCGGGCTTCCAGGGATTAGACTGGGGTCCTCATATGCAAGGCAAACACTTGAGTTTTAAAGAGAGGTAAAATGAGCCAGGTGGTGGCACACACCTTTAATCCCAGCACTCCAGAGGCCAAGGCAGGTGGGTCTCTTGAGTTTGAGGTCAGCCTGGTCTCCAGAGTGAGTTCCAGGACAACACCGATTACAGCCATGAAAAATGTAGCGGGGTTCGGGTTATATGTCAGGAGATAGGGGTGTGGGGCTTCTTTTAGGGCCTCACCCTGTGGCAGAGCCTGATGAGAGCAGGGTCTGACCTGCCTGGTACAGCTCTGTAGAGGGCAGAGCTCAGGATCTGTGTGGGCAGGTCCTGGTGGGCAGCCCTACCTCATCCTTCCTCACCTATCTCTTTGTTTCCACACCCTAAGGTGGCTGAGGGAGAAGACATCCCTAAACAGAAAGAGCGGACACACTTCACTGTTCGCCTAACAGAAGCAAAACCTGTGGACAAAGTGAAACTGATCAAAGAGATCAAGAACTATGTCCAGGGCATAAACCTTGTGCAGGTGAGACCCGGGACCTGAGAGCCTCCCCTGTGTTGGTGCTGAAAGTTCTCAGCACTGGACCTTTCCTGGTTGGGCTTCTTTATGACAACTCCAGGTTCTTTACTGCTGTCTCTTTTAGGCCAAGAAGCTAGTGGAGTCCCTGCCCCAGGAAATCAAAGCAAACGTCGCCAAAGCCGAGGCGGAAAAGATCAAAGCAGCCTTGGAAGCAGTGGGTGGCACTGTAGTTCTGGAGTGACACTCTCTTTCTGAGGACTTTCGGACTGGGGTCCCTGGGACCTGGGCAAAGGCCTGCTCACCCCTGCTTCACTCCCAGGTGGCTTGTTGGGAGCAACAGCTGCTGACACTTGGTGACCGAATTCTCCTGGGAGAGGGACAGGATGGACCTACTGTGATGGGGAGGGGCAGTTTACAGCCTGTGCAGACTCTCAAGAGATTGCCTTGAGATGCTATAAAGTGAACACGCCCCTGGCGGCGACTAAGAGAGTACACTGTTGAGGCTGGGTGTGTGTGGTGAGTGGTGTTTGTGCCTGGGGCTGGTGGTATAAAGGGTCACCTTGAGGCATGTCTGCCCCTGCCACTCCTCCCTGTTGGCAGTGTTTGAGGGTCTGCAGCCATCCATGACTTCCCATTGTGCAGGGCCTGTCCTCTGGTGCCCACCACAGCTTATGCGCACAGGCTCAGTGGTCCGAGATGGAACTGGATTTTGGGGGAGGGGTGATCTGAGATTTAGATGGGGGATTTCCATTTACTTTTGAGTTTTGAAGGTAACAAAGTGTAATACTGGCCCAATCTACCAAGACAGTCTTGGGCACAGCATCACCCCAGTTAGGGTGGGTGGGGGCTGAGCTGTTAACCTTAATATCCCAGGCAAGAGGATTGTACATGTGGAGATAACACCACTTAACTTGCAGGATGGAAGTTCTGGGGAACTTAACAGGCTGGGACAAGGTGGCATAAGGGGCTTGTGCTTGCAGGTCCTGGAAGACACTGAATAACCCTAGGGCGGGCCCCACTTGTGGGCTGAGTAGTAGCTATTTTCGTTCCTAGCCCTCGCACCAGAACCTGGGAGAGGAGCAGAAGTTTCTTCACCTGGTCTTTGACCAGAACCCAAATCCTCAGTGGTGTTTGAGCAGAAGGTCTCATTCTTCCTGTTGGAAAAATTTTTGCAGTCTCTCAGAGAGACCAGAAGAGGGCGGTGTGCTCTGCAGTGTTGCTTTGTGAGATCCGGCAGCCCCACCCAGCTGTGGGCCAGTCCACTTTCACACAGCTAGGAAGCTACAACTTCCCTGACTGAACTCCTGGCCTCTGCCATGAGGATTGCTGATGGCCACACTGTGCTGGTTAATGATTCTGAAGCAGCATTTCAGGGCTATCTCCACAAAGGTGACTTAGGGAGGCTTAGGTATGAACTGCCTGCCAGATCTAACACCTGACAGGTAGTGAGTGAGCCCAAGAACCTCAGGTTGGGCCTGCCCTGTGGCTTGGAACATTCACCTCATCCAGGGCCAGAGTCTAATAAGTGGGTAGAGTGACCTTGACCTCTGGCCATTAGGTTAACCTAGGTCCTGTGATTCTGGGTGTGCTTAGAAATCTGAGGCTGCTACAGACTCTGGAAGGTGGATGAGGTAAAGCACTTGAGTGTAAGCTGAGTCCCCTCGAAAGCGCTGCAAAACAAACAAACAAAAAACGTGGGCCCTCACATGACAGACAAGACACCTCCCCAAGTCAGGCCCCTGATGTTTCTGGCTACCTACCGCAGCCTTTCTCTACCCGTTTCAGATTTCGTGTGGAGCCTAGATAACTAACTGCATGGTGTGAGCTGCATAGTAAGAACCTATCTAAAGACAAAACGTTAGTCCTTAGCTCCTGGCCTACGTTGCTCTGTACCCTGTAAGCTTTCTCCCATGGATCAGGGTCCTCTGGTCAGTAATAGTTTCCAGCCCTCTCAGAAGGGTGGACTGCACACATCTGTAGTCTGGTCGTCTGCATCCCGGGAACAAGCCCACACTGCTGTTGGATTGGCACCAAATGAGACTAGACATCTATGGGCATAGATTTGTTCCCATGCAGTGTTGGAGAGACTCGGTGGCCTGTGATAAGGCCATTCTACTTTTTATTTTGTTTGCTTTTTTACATTTCTGTGGAAGATAAGGTCCACATCTGTACCCTAACCCTCTGTCCTGTAGCTCAGGGTTCTCATATAGCTTTGAAGGTGTCTCCAGTGTTTTACATACAAAAGCAATGTCTCCATGCTGAGCACTGGCCAGGCTTCCTCTGACTTGTGACCTTTGTTGTGCCTGGAAGTTTCATCCTAGCATCTCTTAGTTTCCTGGTAGGGCTGTCTGTATGGGCAAGACCAAGGGCTGCTTCAGGCCTCACAGTCAGCCCAGAGTGTTGCCATGGGGGTTATCCAATGTTAGCACCTGGAGACCTGCCTAGCCCAAAGTTATACTTGTTACCCACACTGCTGCAGAAGAGGAATGGATCTAGTGAGAAGTGACCCTAACCCCCCTTGTGATAGATAGGCTTCGTCCCTGAGTGTAGGTTACCCCTGGGCATGGGAAGGAATGCCAGGACAGCACAGCGGCAGTAAGATGCCAGGAGACCCCCATGTGCTACCTTGATACCACTGTAATGAGCGTGGGAGGCCACCTGGGGCTCTAAAAGATACAATTTGCTCTATACTTTCTACCTCTCTGGCTGGTACAAAGTTGGTCAGTGGGTGGCAGGACTGAATACAGCAGGGTCACAGGCCCTGGAGCAGTTTGCCAGGTAGATCTGATATTTCTCCTTTACATTGGACAGAGATCAAGCCAGAACTGCAGGACACAGGTCTTTTTTTCATGTGGCCAGACTTAAGGCAGACTTGGCCTAGGAGCACATAGGAATTTCTTTCCCCCTTGTTGGAAGGTGGAGATGAACTTCTCAGACTGGGCAAGTTGGAGCTGCCTCCTAGGAGCCTGAGCCAGTAACCATGAAGAATTCACAACTCAGAACCTCCTCCGTGGTGGCTGCCTAGGGCTGTGTCCACAGCAAGGCTTGAGCTGAGTTGCACTTGGCAGGGACTTGATGGGTGTGTAGGCATGGGGGAGGGTCACTGCCACCCTTTAATAAGAGCTTTTTGTCCCTGGTTTCTATTTAATTTGCAAGCTGGCCCCAAGAAGGTTTCCATCCCCCTCTACATCTGGGAGGGGGTGGGGGAGGGGAGGACAGAGATCCACTGCTGCAGCACGTGTCCTTGGTCTGGGTGACACACGAGTCAGCACCAGGGTGCAAGTTCAGGCTCGGGCTAGGGGGCTGGTAAGGAAACCAGCTTCCTGATGAGTGGAGCTTGGCAGAGCACCGTCTGATCTGCGACCCAAGCCATAATCTAGAGAGTGGAGGTGGCCATGGGCTAGCTGCAAGGGTTTCACGGTCGTGTACAGTGGACCCCCTACCTCGGTTCCTGGCAGCGATCGCTTTAAGAGGGAGGGCGGAGCTCCCCAAGGCCTGAGTCCTGCCGAGGGCGGAGTCCATCAGGACCCGCCCCTGGGGCCGCGCGGGCGCATTGGCTGCAGCAGGCGCGGGCGCTCGGTGGCACTTTGAACCGGGTGTCCCGCGGCTGGAACCGGAGTTGTGCTGCCCCGAGCCGGGCCAGGTCGCTGCTGCTCTGGCCATGGCCGAAGCGCGCACATCTCGGTGGTACTTTGGGGGGCTGGCCTCCTGCGGAGCCGCCTGCTGCACGCACCCGCTAGACCTGCTCAAGGTGAGGAGGCTGAGTTTCAAGGCCGAGCGCACGCGTGAGCGAGCCCAGGGCGCTGGGACAGCCCGGGGCCTGGCGCCTGCGAGACGCCTGCTGCGGCCGCCGCCGGGCTGCGCACCCGGTGATGACGCCGGCGACGCCCAGGCCGGCCCGAGCCCGGCCGCCCCGCTCTGCGCTGCCGGGCTTGGGCCTGCGGTGGAAAGATCCCCGGGAACCCTCTGCGGAGGTTCCCCGGGTGCCAGGCGGCCGGCCAGCCCTCGGAGGGGACGCGGCATCGCCGCTCCCCGGCTTGCCAGCTGGTCCCCCGATCTGTCCCGCGTCAGCTCTGCGCTCTAGTTAATACCTGTGTGAACCCTGCCACTCGGTGCCACTCCTCGGCCGCAGACAACTCTGGCTAAAAGTTGAGGGTGGAGTTGCAAGGGCCACAGGTGCTGAAACCTAAGGACCAGCCTGGCCCCGCACTCCAGAGCTCTCCTTCCTGCGGGGCGCGTAGCACCACCTACTGCGGGGGTGAAAGTGAGGGCAATGGGCTACGCCGTGCTGTTGCTTCGGTCATCTGCTTTGTGCTACTTCCGCTTGAGTGGCTGCTCTTAGGATCAGCACACCCGCAGGTGAGCGAGGAGACCCTGCATCCACCCGGATCTGCCCGGTAACACCGGCCTTTTCCGCTTAAGAAGCAACGGAGGCGGTGGTGGCGCACGCCTTTAATCCCAGCACTCGGAAGGCAGGCCAGCCTTGACCACAGAGCGAGTTCCAGGACGGTCCAGGGCTGCACAGACAAACCCTGTCTCGAAACACACACACACACGCACACACACGCACACACACGCACACACTGACACACACACGGTGGGGGGGGTGGAGTAGGAGACACTTGGGTTTGTAGGAAGTCCCAGGGGAAGTTTTTTTTCCCCGATTGTCTTACCAAGATATCCAACTCTCTACCAGGGGGCTCTGACTGCTACTACATGGTGATCTGTGGACAGAGCACGTATGCTGACTGCCATTTCCCTCAAACCTCACACTGAATTGGTCCCTGAGATTTGAGCTGTTGCTCTAGCATAAAACAATTCCTACCACTAGAGACTTAAGGCTAGTTTCTGCCTCTGCCTGGGGACCATGTTTCCCGAGAAAGGCAGTAGCTTTTCTTTTTTTTTTCTTTTTCTTTTTCTTTTTCTTTTTTGTCTTGTCTTTATTGGTAGCTCAGGCTTACCTTGAGCTTGTTATGAAGCTAAAGCTGGCTCTGGATTTCTGTTCCTCCTGCCTCTACCTTCCAAGTGCAGGGATTTCAAGCGTGCATTACCACTCCCAGCTAGTTTTTCTAATTAGTGAGAATGCTGGCCACTGGGTACAAGGGAGGACTGACACCTTACTTGTCCTGGGAGTGGCACACACAGGTCCAGGCCCTGAGTACTGATGACTTTAGGAGGGGCTTCTTCTGCTTGTACCTACAGACTTCTCCATCGGGGTCAGGCTAAATGGCTAAACTAGGCATGGGCCCTGGGACCGCACAGCCACCCCACTGACAACCAGTCCTCTGGAGTGTTGACTGACTGTTACGTTAAAGCCCCAGGCAGTTGTTTATTGTCCCTCTGGGCTTCACTGCTTCTCAGCCCCACCCCCACTCAGATATTTCTTGGTGGAATGATGCCTAAAGGGTCAAGAAGGGTTGCCATGGAAGCATGGACACCCTTGTTGGACCCGAGCCAGTTGGAACACAGCCACGGAAGAGGCAGTGACCAGGCTATTCCAAATAAGACCACTCACAGAGACCATTTGAAAACTTGTGTGGACAGAATCTTGCTGTGCCTCAAACTCATGATCCTCCTGCCTCAGACACCCTCAGTATTTAGGGTCATGTGCCTGAGTTACTATGCCAGCTTTAAAGACTTGTTTTGAAGTTCCTTGGTGTCCACTTGGCCCTGGCTTGGCCCTCTCATGCACAGGGGCAGTTGCCCTCACAGCCACTGCTCCCTGGATAGTCTTAAACCCTCTGACCCTCTTGACCCACATACTGGAGAATGACACACCTGTTGCTGAGTACCAAGCCCCCTCTGTCCTTTTTGCATGAGTGTGACCATGCTTGTGGGGCCACATTTGGCTGTAGGAAGGCTTCTTTGGGGTCAGTACACAAAAGTGCTCAGGACCAGGGCTCCTGAACCTGAACATGGGCCACCAGTAGGCTAGTGGGAGTGAGGCCAGGCTCTGGGAACAGTATTATTATTATAAAATCAAAGAGGCAGCAATTACAGGCCTGGGATCAGCCTTAGGCCCTTTGGAGCCTCCCTATTGCCCCTGCCTTAGTTTCCTCGCCTCTAGGCATGTGTGCTGACAGCCCAGTCCACAGTGTGTGGACCTAGAAACACTGCTTGTTGCAATTATGTCAACAGAGCTTGTTTGGAGGCCCTGGTACCAGTCTCACTGCAACCTTGTTTCTGCCAACTACTCTGTGTGGAGGTGACATGCTCTCCCTGTCTACACACAGGTGCACCTCCAGACACAACAGGAAGTAAAGCTGCGCATGACGGGAATGGCGCTGCAGGTGGTGCGAACCGATGGCTTCCTGGCGCTCTACAATGGCCTGAGCGCCTCGCTGTGTAGGCAGGTGTGTTCACAGGTCTTGGCTCTCTGCCAGGGCTCATGACCCACAAAGTTCTTTTCTCTCTCTTGTTACCATAAGCTTCCTAGTCCTTAGCCCCGGCCTCGCCGGTCCTGGTTCTGGTGCTCAGTCCTATGAAGGAGCCTTAGGGAATTCCAGCTACTTTCTCTTCCCCCTTCATATTTATTATAGAAGAGACACAGAGTTGGTATGGGGCAGGGTCTACTTTCCACTTTCAGGTGGGGAAACTGAGGCTAGGGACAGCACCTTTGGGTTTGTGAACTGGCTTGGCTGCTTGCAAGCTCAGTGGCCTTAGAATGGCCACCCACTGTCCCAGGGCCCACGGAACTATGACAGGGCTAAGTAGAGTGCCCAGTCCTCTGAGCCAGGCCCCCTCCCCAGATGACCTACTCCCTGACTCGGTTCGCTATCTACGAGACCATGCGGGACTACATGACCAAGGACAGCCAGGGGCCTCTCCCCTTCTACAGCAAGGTGTTGCTGGGCGGCATCAGTGGTGAGCACTGGGTAGTCAGGGCAAGGGACGGGCAAAGGCCCAGGACACGGGGAACCATCACATATTGGCCCTGGCATTTGTATCACCACAGGTTTAACTGGAGGCTTCGTGGGGACCCCAGCAGATTTGGTCAATGTCAGGTTTGTATGTGCCTCTTGTCCCCCAAGGTCAAGGGCTCTACTGTTCCCAAGCAGGCAAGCCATTGCTTAGGTTACTCCTGGACTACACTCAGCCTGGGGCACGTCACTTAGACTCTAAGCCTGGTTTGATGGAGGAGCCGAGTCCTACCCTGAACTCGGTAGGCAGTCCTAGACTTTTGACCCCAGCCAGTGAGCTGACCTGGGGCCTGGGGGCTAATGTCTGTCCATCGGTCCACCCTCCCAGTCTGTTCTACCATTGTTTCAGGATGCAGAATGACATGAAGCTGCCCCTGAGCCAGCGACGCAAGTGAGTAGAAAGAAGGTGGGGGATGGTAGGGGTGAGAGGACCAGCCAGGGAACACCCCTGCACAGCTCTGTGTGACTTAGCCAGGGCTCCCGGTACCATGCACGACTATCCTGGGGTCACTAAGGGGTGTCCCTGGGTCCCCTGAGACCTTTAGGTTCTTTCTTACAGAAGAATCTCACTAGGCTGAAGGCCGGTCCCCGCACACCTGCCCTCTGGAACCTCCTGACACCATGACTATAGCATAGGACTGGGCTTCTTCGTAGCTGAGGATAGCCCAAGTCAGGTATCCAAGTGCGGGGGCACCCAAGCCTCAAAGCCCATGGGGTGAGACACGAGAAAAGGCCTCACAGCCATTCCCAGGAGCAACATGGGGCTCGGGCTCGGGACCCTCTGCAGCAGCCCTTTCTTTCTTATCATAGCCTGGGTGACCTCACTTTTTCCTTCACCCTTGGGGATCCAGGCTGTTTCTAGTTCCCCTCCCCCACTTTTGTTCAGGCTGTCTGTGAACCCCAGGTCCTCCTGGCTTGGCCCCCATAAATCGAGGCTGATCCAGTTTCTTGTTTTTTATTTTGGGATGGGGTCTCATTCTGCAGCATGATCTGAACTTGAACTCTTAAGCCCACTGAGTGCTGGGATTACAGGTGTGAGCTACCAGACCTGGCCAGTTTCTGGTTTCTTGTTGCTTCCCCCTTGGATTCTCCAGCCAAGAGGGCAGGTGATAATCTTGTGTGCTGGAAGCCACAGCAAGCCTGGGATCCTGTGGGGAAAAATGGAAACCTCCATCTGAAGAACTAGCAGATCAGACCATCAAAGCTTTGCCCACAGAGAGGACAAGCTTGAGGCCATAGGAGTCATTTCCTGAGTTTTTCCTGGGAGAGGTTTAGAGGCCTGTGCGATGCCAAAGCAAGAGTCCTGTGGCCCACAGTGGGGGAGTGGCTTTTCTGGCGTCTAAGGCACACCCTGTGGAACAGGTGGGTGTGGTCAAGCTCGTTGACTTGTGTTTGCCACCTACAGCTACTCTCATGCCCTGGATGGTCTGTACCGTGTGGCCCGTGAAGGTGAGGCGAGAGGGAGTTTACATTATTGTAAATATGTATGAGTTTGAATAGATAGCTACGTATATATTCAGTATGTATGAGCTGGTGGGCTTGGGGTGGAGAAGCAGCCTGAGGAAGCAGGCAGGGTGGGTAATGAAAGGTGGCCTGAGGTCTGGCTGTTGATGTCACCTGTCACTTCCTCCTGCAGAAGGCCTGAGGAAGCTCTTCTCGGGTGCAACCATGGCATCCAGCCGCGGGGCCCTGGTCACTGTGGGCCAGGTAGGGTTCCTGAGCAGAATGGGTCTTGTGAGCAATATCTCTCACCTCTGACCTCTGTCCTCAGAGATCACAGAACACAGCAGTGGGCACTGAGAACCTCGGGGAGGTACCCGCTATCCTGGAGAGGGGTGGGCACAGGTGGGTTCAGCTATAGCCTGCATCTGACCCCCACCTGCATGTCCGGGTGTGGTTAGGTGATAGCAAGTGCTTGCTCACTGCCGAATGTCACTGTGGACCCAGGTGACTCTTCCTGGATCTGGGAGCTCTTTGGCCATAACTGTCCCCATTCCTTTCTGCAGCTGTCCTGCTATGACCAGGCCAAGCAGCTGGTCCTCAGCACTGGGTACCTGTCTGACAACATCTTCACTCACTTTGTCTCCAGTTTCATTGCAGTAAGTGTCCCAGCGTGGTTAGAATTGGACGAGGGTAGGTGGGATGCGCCTGGCCTCTCCAAAGCCACATTTGGGGATCAAGTTCACACGTCAGCCCAGGCCAAGATAATTCCTGTGTCACCTCTTTTGGGACCCAGATCTTGTAGCCCTGGGGCAAAGGGCTCTTTCAAGGTAGCTTGTGGGTGAGCATGCGGTGAAGGTTTGGGAGGGCCCGCAGGCCCACTGGTGACAAGTTCCCTCCCTCAGGGCGGATGTGCCACATTCCTGTGCCAGCCCTTGGATGTGTTAAAGACCCGCTTGATGAACTCTAAGGGCGAATATCAGGTAAAGTCCCGGCTGCAGGCTCCAGGGCTGGCTGGGGTTTCTGCCCCCTACGGCCGCACTCTGGGGCCAGGGCCCCCTCACCTTCCGCCCTGTGATCTTGGAGATGTGTGCCTGCTTCCCACTGGGGCATGGGGGCTCAGAGACAAGGCTGTTGACCCCTGCTTACTTCCAGTTGCTCAACTCTGGGTAGCACTTGCCTCAGGGTGGAGCTGTACTTTTCCAAGGCCTTGGCCTCAGTTTTGCTTTAGACCAAAGGATTTCTTCCACCAGCTAACAGAGGAGCCTTTTCCCACTATCAGTAGAACCTGGCCTTACTGCCTTGAGAGCCGATCTGATTGGCTCTCCCAGCAGCGTGTCTGCTTGGCCTGTGTGGCCTTTCCTCCTCTGGCCCATCGATGTCACAGCCTGAGCGGTTTTCTTTTCGGCTCCTGCCCTGTTCCTGGGAGCACACAGAGCCACCATGCCCTCCTACACCTGGAGGGTTCATCTGTGCATCTGAGTGTCCTCCACTGTTTCCCACAGGGTGTTTTCCACTGTGCAATGGAGACCGCAAAGCTTGGACCACAGGCCTTTTACAAGGTGTGCTGGGGCAGTGGGGATGAACAGTGGGAGAGCCCGAGGTTGGGTGGGTCTCCCGGGACCTGACGTCTCCACCTCTGGTGTCTTCACCCAGGGCCTCTTTCCTGCGGGCATCCGTCTCATCCCCCACACTGTACTCACCTTCATGTTCCTGGAGCAGCTCCGGAAGCACTTTGGCATCAGAGTGCCAACCTGACCCCACCACGGACACCTGGGCCATGCTCGGTCACTGTGCTGAGCTCCCTGGAAGCGTGGGAGGGGAGCAGACTCCCCTTCTTGGCCTGGGCCCCTGCAGGCTTGTTGCTCCCACCCTTGGGCTGGCTAGGCCTCCTTACCCTGCCTGGGCCAGGGCTTACTTCAGTGGCCTTTGTCCCTTCCATAGACCCACTGGACTGGAACCTGCCCTACATGTTCGCAGGCTCTCCCCATTGGGCTTTTGCCCTGTCTTCCCACCCCATGATTCACTCAGGAGAAGAGGTCTGGCTCAGACTGGTATTGCTGTCTCCACCTCCCTAGCTGCCCTGCCTGTCAAGCAGGAGGAAGCTGACCACTTCCTGCTCCCAGCTGGCCCTCTGTTCATTGAGCAGCGTCCACCCAGAACCTACATGGTGTGGAGGGTGTGACCATGGCAGCTTCTGCTTACCCAACAACTGGAGCACGCACGCACTTTTATCACGAGAGGGACCATCATGTAGCACCCTTGAAGGTACTGCCTTCAGGAGAGGGAGCAGGCAGCAGGAACCACCATCCAGCACATTTCATGACAGTGGAGTCCAGAGAAAGTGCCTGAGGTTCCCTTGGGCACTTGCCACACGCAGCCACGGCCATCAGAAACTGTCCCTCGCACATGTGTGCTCTCCCTAGCTTGGCTTCCCTGGGGGCAGGGGGAGCATGCTGGCAGAGCTGGGGCCATGATGGCTTGTATGTGCCCGACAGGGACTTGTCTTGTTATATGGCAGTGGTTACCCCTCTCCATCCCCCAGGCACCTTCAAAGCAGCCTGCCTGGTTCTCCCCAAACAGTGTTGGGTACAGGGCATGAGGTTGGGCTCTGTGCCCATTCCTCCCTAGCAGGACCCGGGGGCACTGCCTGCACCCACCCCTCTTCCTTCAGGGTCTAATAAAGCAAGTGGCCTGGGGGCCTTCATGTCTCCCTGCACCTCACCTCCAAGGTGCTCTTCTTTGAGCTCTCACTCTCTTGCTGCTTTGGACAATGGCTCTACTAAGTCAGGGCCACCTTCCAGGGGTAGAGCCTATGGGAAGAGATCAGTAGGAAGGGAGAAAGAGCCATCTTAACCAACAGTAGCAGGTGTCTGTCTCAAAAAGCAAAAATTCCCATGCAGTTGGTTGCTGCCCAGCAAGCCCAGGAAACTAAGGATGTCCTGGGGTCTGTAGGGAATGCAAACAGAGAAGCCCAGGCTGATACTTTATGTATAAGCAGGGGCAGGATGTCAGCTAAGGGTCCCAAAGCCACTCCCAATAAAGCTGGTACTTGCATCAGAAGAAATCCAGTGTGCTCATCTCAACTTGAGGAGCCCAGGTACTGTTGTAGCATAGGTATAAACACCTAAGTGAGCATCCCTGAAACACTACATTTGCCAAAGCTATGGTTGTAATTTGTCAGTGTGAAAAGTGTGATGTGAGCTGGGAATGTAATGATGCATAATATTCTTGAGAACCCAGAATACTGGATAGCAGGACTATGAGGGTTTTAGTCTTTACACTGCTGGAGGCCAGACGCTAGACTTCATACTAAGTAAACACTGAGCCAAACTCCCAGCCTTGCCTGTTTCCTGCAGCCCCAGCTGTTTTCCAATGTGTTTCCCTCCTGCTTCAGTCTCCCGATCCCTAGATGACAAGTGTGTGGACAAGTCACTTTAAGATTCAGATTTGTGCCGGGTGTAGTGGCGCACGCCTTTAATCCCAGCACGCAAGAGGCAGAGAAGGGTGGACTTCTGTGAGTTCGAGGCCAGCCTGGTCTACAGAGCGAGTTCCAGGACAGGCTCCAAAACAGTACAGAGAAGCTCTGTCTCAAAAAGCAAAAAAAAAAAAAAAAGAGAGATTTGTGGGCTGGAGAGATGGCTCAGCGGTTAAGAACACTTGGTTGCTCTTCCAGAGGTTCTGAGTTCAATTCCCAGCAACCACATGGTGCCTCACAACTATCTGTAATGAGATCTGGTGCCCTCCTCTGGCCTGCAGGAAAACATGCAGGCAGAACACTATACATAATAAATACCTAAATCTTAAAAAAAAAAAAAAAAAAAAAATAGGTTTGTGAGCTGGAGAGATAGATGGCTCAGCATTTAAGAGCACTGATTGCTTTTCCAGAGGACTCAGGTTCAATTCCCAGCATCCACATGGTGGCTCAAAGCTGTCTGTAACTCCAGTTCTAGGGGACCTGACACCTTCACAGAGACATACATGCAGGGCAAAACACAAATGCACATAAAAATAAATACCTTAAAAAAAAAACTAAACTAAATTTCTCCTGGGTGTGGTGGTAGCACTCACGCAGATCTCTGAGTCTGGACAGAGTTCCGGGCTAAACAAGGCTGCACTGTGAGAGAGGCCTTGTCTTTAAAAACACACACAAAAAAAGTTTGTTCTGTTTGTGGTGGCTCATGCCTGAGATCCTTCCTGACTTGGGGAGGAGTGGGGTGGGGCTTCTAATTGGTGCTATAAGGTCCAGCCCTAAAGCCAGTGGAGAAAACTAGATTAGGGTCCCACCTGTTGGCCACAAAACCATTACTACATTATCAAGGGTAGGCATCCTACTTTGGACCGTGGCTGGTGGCATTCAGTGTGATGTGGGAGTCACAGATGGGTGAGATACTCCTGTGGTTCCCCGCAAGGGCTGTTTCTCCAGACCCCAGCCAAGAACTTGCCTGAATTAGAGACAATTGGCCACTCAAACTGTTTTTAGATTGTTAATAGGTCTTATCCACGTGACTGGGGCCTCTGAGGAAGCTGACACACACCTAACCTCCCTCCTCACAGTCAGCCCTACCCAGCAAAGCCTCCCTGGAGGCGAGAAAGTACCCAGTCTGGTTTGGTGGGGTTAGACCTGGCAACAGGCCCTGCAGGGCAAGGTGCTTAAAGCCAATCCGTTGGATTGACAAAGTCCAGGTGAGACACTGTCCCCAAAAGGTGTGGAGAGGAAGTCACACAGGACATTGACCTCTGACCTCTAACCTTGGACACATGGGCAAGTGCACCCTCCCACATGCAGAAACTCTTCAATAAATGGTGCCATCAAAGTTGCCCACGTATTCAGGGATGAAGATGGGTGCTTACCTCACTACACACTTCTCAGCAGATCACAGACCCACAGGCAAGATGTCCGTTCCAGGCCATGACACCTTCTGGTCTCAGGTACCAGCACATGTGGCAGACACGCACACTAAAAGCAAAAGACACCAGATATAAACAGCACTGATGCTAGAGAGTGAAAAGATGTCCTAGGCTTTACCTGCCCCAACGTGTTTTGCCTTTGATAGGGACTCTGAAAGACAGATTCTATTCTGCTGGGGAGGCAGGAGTCTGCCCTGTGTGCCAGTGGCCTGGTCACTCTTGCTTCTGATTAGTCTGGACTTGGAAGTGGGAACAATTGATGCTTGATTCTCGTCACCGGAGTGTTCGCTGTTGGGGTGTGTGGCTTCTTGGGTGAGATTATAGTGCGTTTGTCTCTGTCTCTTGCTCTCTTTCCTGGTGCTGGGGATGGAACCTGTGGCCTATGCATAGTAAACTCTGTGTACCCCTAAGCTGTACCCTAGCCCTCTTTTGTTTAAGATTTATTTGTTTTTGTTTTTTTGAGTAAGGATTTCTCTGTGTAGCCTTGGCTGCTCTGGAGCTCACGCTGTAGACCAGGCTGGCCTCGAACTCACAGAGATTTGCCTACCTCTGCCTCCTGAGTGCTGGGATTACAGGTGTGGGCCACTATCACTCGGCTTGACATTTTTAACTTTAAAAAAAAAAAAAAAACTAAATTAAAGCTGGGTAGTGGTAGTGTGTATTCCTTTAATCCCAGAACTTGGGAGGCAGAGGCCAGCCTGGTCTACAAAGCAGGTTCCAGAACAGCCAGCCAGAGTTGTGACACAGAGAAACCCTGCCCCGAAGAAAATAAATAAATAAATAAAAATATCTCCCCTGACCTCCAGGCAGAGTTCAAGTACAGCCAGAGTTGTTACACCGAGAAACACTATCTCAAAAAAAAAAAAAAAAATTAAGTGAGTCACATAGGCACTATACCACCTGGCAATCACTGCTCTTCGTGTGGTATCTGGTGAATCTTCCATGAGAATCTGCGTCTGAGGACAGAAAGTGATGTCAGCAGAGGGTCTGGGGTTAGTTACATCATAGGTGTCAGGAGAGCTGCCCTCTTCACCTAATTCCGGGAGAATGTGGAGCCAACAGAGTCCCCGGCTTCTGAAGCTTCCCGGAATTGTTTATCAATAAAGACTTTACTTTGTTTCAGTGTTCTGTTTTGTTTTTGAAAGCAGGTCTTGCAATGTTTGTAGCCCAGGCTGGCCTGAAAAAACCATCAAGCCTTTGGTTTCAACCTTCCAAGCTCTGAGAAGTCAGGCTTCCAAGCTCAGCTCTGTTACTTTTCTAGTTTTGTTTTGTTTCATTTGAAACAAAGTATCTATCTTAGTGTTTCTATTGTGATGAAACACCGTGACAAAAAGCAACTTGGCTTTATTTGGCTTGTACTTCCCCAACAGGGTTCAACATCCAAGTCAGGACAGGAACTCAAGCAGGGCAGAGACCTGGAGGCAGGAGCTGATGCAGAGGCCGTGGAGGGTGCTGCTTACTGGCTTCTCCCCATGGCTGGTGCAACCTGCTTTCTTATAGAACCCAGGACCATTTGCCCAAGGATGGCACCACCCACAATGGGCAGGATCCTCCCACACAAATCACTAATTAAGAAAATGTCTTACAGCCCTATGTTATGGAGGCATTTTCTCAATCAAGGTTCCCTCCTCTCAGATGATTCTAACCTGTGTCAAATTGACATTAAATTAGCCAGTACAGGGCTGGAGAGATGGCTCAATTGCTAAGAGCACTGGCTGCTCTTCCAGAGGACCCAGGTTCTATTCCCAGCACCCACATGGCAGCTAACAACTGTTTGTAACTCCAGTTCCAGGGGATCTGACACCTTCACATAGACACAGCATTTCCCTCTTTATCTGACTCTGGGTTTTTATTACTTAGACCAATTAAGAACTCCATTTACTCAGGGCGGTGGTGGCACACGCCTATAATCCCAGCACTCCCGAGGCAAAGGCAGAGGGGGATCTCTCTGAGTTCGAGACCAGCCTGGTCTACAAGAGCTAGTTCCAGGACAGCCTCCAAAGCCACAGAGAAACCCTGCCTCGAAATACCACCCCCACCAAAAAAAAAAACTCATTTACAGATAACACTGGTCAATTATATGGAATGCTGTGAATATGTGTTACCTCCTTAGTGTCTCAGCAGACAAGAAAGCCAGTTCCTGTTTATATCCTGTTTCCGCCTAGCTACCTCACTTCCTGTCTGTCTGTACAGACCTCCAGACTTCTATTGTTAGCTAGTGGCAAGTTCCAGGCTCTGACCTTCAGGCAGGCTTTATTTGTACAAGCAAGATATCACTATAGTTATCAATAAGATTTTAATGTTTTTTGGTTTTTATTTTTTAAAGATTTGCTTTGTTAGGATTGGAGAGAGAGATCAGTGGTAAGGCATACTTGCAGCTTTTTGGGGGGACAGATTTTGAGACAAGGTTTCTCTGTGTAACAGTCCTAGCTGTCTTGGGATTAACGTTGTAGAGCAGGCTGGCCTTGAACTCACAGAGATCAGCCTACCTCTGTGTGCACCACCAACACCTGGCACACATGCTTTTGCAGAGTTCAGTTCCCTCATGGCAGCTCACAGTGATTTGTAACTAGAGTTCTGGAGATCCAAAGCCCTCTCTGGCTTCCTTGGGTACTAGATATGTATGTGCTACATAGGCAAACATACAGGCAAAACAACAAATATATAAAATGAAGTGTTTTCAATTTTTAAATTTATTTTCAACCAGACATGATGGTGCACACCTTTAATACCAGCTCTTGGGAGGCAAAGGCAGGCGGATCTCTGAGTTTGAGGTCAGCCTGGTCTACATGGTGAGTTTCAGGACAGCCAGAGCTACAT